TGGCGGTCGGGGAACAACGCATCTTTTGCGCAACGCCATCTTGTACCCGGTCTCTCTGGACCTAGGCTCATGATAGTCGGTGTATAGCATCATGGTAGGAAAAGCCATCACTGTGCCGAAATTGGATCAAGGTCAAAGGGCAGTGGGGGAAATGTCAGATATCAGACATTTTCTGAGGACATGGGCTAACAGACAGAGTGAAAAACTTTTTTGTTTCAGCGCTGACCTACCATTTTTATCACTTTATTGAAAGGACCATGAAATGTGCTTTCCACTGACATGCGAAGAGTAAGTATCTGATAACCTTTTGACCCTCAAGAGGAGGGTTAAACATGGATTCCTGAACTGCCTCAATGATGTCACAGTCATGGCACATCCATAATCTGGAAACCCAATATGCCTCGATAGTCTCCGGAACGTCTACAGCACAGGATTACGGCTCAAAGGTCCTTGGAGCGAATCCCATCAGATTTTTTATTATTTACCTGTTTTCTGTATTTTTCTCTCTTTATCCATTTAACTATTTCTTTCCAATTAAGGAAAATATTTTTTTTTAATAGGGTTAGGGTCACAATGCACCATAAAACAGGAGTTTCAGGCACACAATTTGTATCAACCAATGGGATTTGGGAGGTATGCAGAATGCAGAAGGTTGCTGAAATGATCTGTACGCAACTGCTTATCTGCATATCTGCGCCTAACAAAGGTGTCACTACGCACAACTTAAATGTTATGTTTATCATTCTAGCAACAGACCTCAGATGAGCCCAGACGCTCTGTGGCTCTAGTCTATGCTATAACTGCATAAAATCTTAGTGTTTTTAATGTTGGTGTAATCAGTGATATTTCTGCTGTCAGGTGAGACTATTTTCAGCTATATTTAGTTTTTCTGAGCAAAAAGCTCGCAATAGTCAGTTTAAGTAAGTAGGATACTAAGTCAAAGAACACCATACTTAAGTATTGCTTACCCAAAAACCCAAAAAAGTGATAAAATTGATTGTTGGTAGACATAATAAGTCAATTATGTACTGGTCCTGCTGGACAAAGCTAACTAAGTTACTACATGGCCGTCCGAAGGGGGGGGGGGGTGCAATAGGGTGCGGTCGCACCCCAGTTTTTGTCAGAGTTTACCCTGGGAATTAGTTATTTAGCCAGCAAGTCAATTCGTTGTGCAAATGTTAGTGTAGGACCAATATTTTTGCGTGTTTATGCATGCGCGTGTGATGTGAAGTTATTGTGAGGACCAAAACAGGTGCACTGCATGCACTAACACAGTCTAACAGGCAATCAAATCAACACGAAACATTTTCTAAAAATATTTGCGTGTTTTCTTTACAGTGAAAGCTTACAGTATATTTATTTGCAGTATTTGCGCATTGCTTTATAACATTTTACAACAGTACAACTTTATTATTAAAACACTGAAAAAATATCAAGGATCTGATCAAGGGAAGAGAATCGCGATTTGATTCGATTTCGGTGGATCGTTATAGCCCTAGGCAGTGCTATGACCGTAATTCTACTAACTACAGTGTCATTTACTTGTATTCAGTTACAGCTGTGGGACACGGCCGGCCAAGAGCGTTTTCGCAAGTCCATGGTTCAGCACTACTACCGCAATGTTCACGCCGTCGTCTTCGTCTACGACGTCACCAAAATGGGTTCGTTTGAAAGCTTGCCACACTGGATCTACGAGTGCGACAAGCACAACTTGACGACCGACATTCCCCGCATTGTCGTCGGAAACAAGTGCGACTGCCGCGATAAGGTCGCCGTGAACACGCAGATCGCCCAGCGATTCTGCGACCTTCACAACATGCCGTTGTTCGAGACGTCCGCGAAGGACGACTCTGAGTTTGACCACGTAGATGCCATTTTCATCACTCTCGCGCACAAGCTGAAGAGTCAGAAGCTGATGATGCAGCCGACGTACCGCTACTCGGCCGGTGACCCACGCCGACCCTACGTTGTGCGCACCAAGAGCACGGAGAGCACACGCAGCTTTTGCCAGCAGTCGTCTGCATCCACAGAGGAGGCACCGGGATGCGCGTGTGTCATCTGATCACGTCGGCGTCGTGACGACATGAAAACGACGTGACTCCCACATGGAGACGTGGGAATTTGTGTGGTGAACCATATCTGGATGTAATTTATTTATTTATATGTGCTCTGATGTTAACCAAAAAAATGTCTCACTATTAGTACTATAAACGTCAGGAGTAGATAATAGGGAAGGAGTGTGACTTCAATAAACAAGGGAAGTTCGTCATTTACTAGCATTAGAATACCTACGATTTACTACGCGTAATTCAACCAACTTGAGCTCAAATCGTACACAGTACATTTGCCTAGCATCTTGCGAAATCGTTTCCTTATATACACCCGCGATCCGGAGATACAGACTAAAACGTACGACACGATTATCCATTCTGTTGTTATCAATCCGAACGTATTGTCCGCCCGACTTGAAACAAAGGGCAGCTACTAACGCTCGGCCATGCGGTGTGGCTCACTGGGAGATTGGAGCTGGAGCTGCTGCTGATTGCGGTGGGCGTGCGTGCGATGGGGTCATACCAGCTGTATGCCGGTATGCCGGTATGTAGCTGTATGCCGGGTCAAAGGTTATCTCGCCGAGTGTTGCGTCGATGTCCAATCTCCCAGCGAGCCACACCGCATCGCCGAGCGTTAGTAGCTGCCTTTTGTTTCAAGTCGGGCGGACAATACGTTCGGATTGATGGCAACAGAATGGATAATCGTGTCGTACGTTTTAGTCTGTATCTCCGGATCGCGGGAGTATATGAAGAAACGATTTCGCATGATGCTAGGCGAATGTACTGTGTACGATTTGAGCTTAAGTTGGTTGAGTTACGCATAGTAAATCGTAGGTATTCTAAGGCTAGTAAATGACGAATTTCCCTTGTTTATTGAAGTCACACTCCTTTCCTATTATCTACTCCTGATAAACGTGCAACTCTTAAATGATGAAAATTAGTCTGGTAGATGCTGAGAATGCTGAGGTTTTTATTAAATTTTTAGCAAATGGGCTTTTGCAATGCTGCAATTTTTGTAATTTTGGAATGGTATGTTTTTAGTTCTGTAGTAATATGTTTTTTTTGCCATAATATAGATATAGATATATTATTTTTGGCTATACGCGATGTACGGCTAGTTGCATAGTTAGTTATTGGTGCGTATAGCATTTGCTCTTTGGTTACTTAAAGTGAGGATTCAGTACATGTAGACCATTTGCATTGACTATTGCAGTTTGTTAGATTGCAATTGTCAGATGTGTAAAATAAATTTGGAACTTCTTTTAACTATAGGTAAATTATGAAGAGTAATTATGAAGTCAAAAATGAGTCAAATCCGTCATCATATTTGGTTGTTTTTCATATTTATATACAAACAGCAAAATTATGGTACACCAAGTTGGAGTTCAAAATTATCTTTTTATAATATATTATTCTCGAATAATAACATTGAATCAAGATTAATCATGCAGAGTTTGTGTAGTCATGGAGAACGAAATATAACTTCACAAATTTCTATCTAGGCTTTATTTCTAATCAAGATTGTATGTACATTGCACATTGTTCTTTATGCATTCCTGTTATCTATATAAGAAGAATGTTCACTCTTTTGTCAGAGCAATGTGAAGTGAAGTGATAGTGAACTATCATGATAATAAATCATTTTATTGATTTCCGTGTAGAACTACAGTAAAACTCGCATAAGTCGACACTCTGGAACCAGCATATTTGTGCCGACTTACGAAACTGAGGACATACGCGTAAGTCGTCATTTTGTCGACTTATATGTAAGTCGCCCAAATGACGACTTATGCGCATATATCGTCATTTTGACGATTTATAAAGCCAGTATTTCAACGACTTGGAGTGTCAAGCTGATATTTTGTCAGGCTTTATATCTACATGAACTACTTTTGCGATGCGACGCAACTGTTTCCAAGCGAGCTGGTCCAAGCGAACAATGCGAATGAAACAATCGGTGCACATAGCAACAACTCATGTAAACTCAGTTGTGCGATCTACAGGCGATCGTCGGTTCGACCATGGTTCGGCCATGGTTCGACCTAAGCGCATATTTGCGACAGCCAGCTCGCACATTGATACCTTTGTTTTCTAGATAATCCCCGCACTCGTTGATTCAGGTGCCTTGTGAAATACAAGAGAGGGCGCCAAGATACAAGATACAAGATACATCCCCTAGACCGTACACTGCGCCATCGGCATTTCTGATGACGACTTACAGATGGGAAATTACTGTTGTTTGTATTACATGGGACCTGTATGATGGCGCCGACTTGTACATAATGACGACTAGCTTAGGCGGACTCCAATGGATTTATTATAAGAGAAAATCGGGATTTCCATGACGAGTTATGCAAATTGATGAGTTAGTCGATGACGACTTATGCGAGTTTCACTGTGTAACAAAATGTATTTGGATCTAATTTGGGTTTATTGTGATAGACAAAGAAAGTGTCCATATGTAAATAAATGTACAAGGAAATGTGCCGTGCACTGGAGACTAGTGGCCTCTAGTGATCAAATGAGAAAATAATGATTTTGCCATATGATAATTCTCCTTTTCTGTATGTTACTTATGACTAATGTTCAATACCTAAGATTTATTTAAAGCACATGCATGCTATATGTTGAGTAGTCCCATGTTGCAAAATTTACAATTACGTGTTCATCTTTTGCAGCTATAATTTTTCAATGTTCGTAATAAAATATGACAATTCTTCATGTAACCTGATGCAGTAACAGGCCCTCGGTCACCCTGAGTTGTAAGAAGTGTATCTGCAATATGTAGACTTTCAATGCATCTCACCGATATTAAAGTTCATGTGGTACACCATGCCACCTTCGTTAAAATTGATTTATAGTTGATACATGTATATTATCAGGTTGTAAATAGTATTTCATGCAGTCGTGAATCGGAATTATTTGCCCAATAATATTTAAAGTTTATGCTGAATTATATCATAATATCAGTAGTGCACGAGTTATTAATAATATCTTGGTGTAGATTTAATTGGGTCACATAGGCTAAATTCTAGAACAAACAAAAATCAGTTAAAATCTAAATACTTTATTTCAATCACGTAGTGGTTCCATATACATTGTATATTTAATTGTTATTATTATCCCTTACGTGTAACTATATGATACTATTCTGTGACATCAGCAAACATTACGCCATGTATTTTAAGGCATTAACATAATTGAGTCTTAATTTAAATGTGGATGTTGTTTACCTTAAATATTTACAGCGATTGCATTTTTTGTAAAACCGTTACTCAATATGTGTGTGTGCTTGAGTTGATGTTGTGTTGATGCATTCGTGTATATAATCAGACGTATTGGTTGTGGATGTGCAGCCCGTGTAGGTACACATATTTGTAGATTTCTCTACATGTTGTATGTTCATATTGCTCCAAAAGTCAGGAGAATCAGTGAGTTTAACATCTGTTTGTATTTGGGATAATTCTATCGGATGTATTTACGATTCTGTTGCGCTGATATTGAAAGGAATGACAGTGGCTTTCTGTCTCACCTGTCTATAGAGGTGGGCGGGGGGGGGGTCTCTGAAACGCATTAATGACGAGCGTAAGCTTGTCCTTTTTCACTTTCACAGTGTCTGACGGACGTAATTACAGTGTGTGTGCGTGCGCGCGTGTGTGTTCGTGTCTGTTCCCGCGCGCGCGCGCGTGTGTGTTTGTGTGCGTGCGTGCGTGTGTGCGTGCGTGTGTTCGTGTGTGTGCGTGCATGCGTGCGTGCGTGTGTTCGTGTGTGTGTGTGTGTGTGTGCGCGCGCGCGCGCGTGCGTGCGTGCGTGTGTGTTTCTGTGCGTGCATGGGTGTGGGTGCGTGCGTGTGTGTGGGCGCGTGTGTGTGTGTGTGTGTTCGTGTGTATTTGTGCGCGCACGCGCATGCGTGTATGGAGGAAGCTTGACGTATACAGGACTTAAACTAAATTGATTTCACTCGCTATGACCACAGTGTATTTAATCTGAAATGACTATAATAGAGTTTTTACTGAAACAAAGGATGAACGAGTATTATTGCAGATCAGTGATTATATATTGCTTTGTGTTTCAAATGCATACTGTGCTTTAAACTGTAGTACTGGTGCCGTTAGTTGGAGCCTGTATGACAGCATATGACAGCAGATCAGGCTCGTCTTTAATTATTTACAAGCATGCCTTTAATTAATTAAATGCGTGTGTGTAAAGTTACAAGCATGTCTTTAATTAATTAAATGCGTGTGTGTAAAGTTACAAGCATGCATGTATCTTTACATACACGCATTTAATTAATTAA